TTTGAAATATTTTGGAAATTCTGAACTTTTTTCAAAGCAATCGTACTGCTTTAACTGCATAGAGACGAAATATCAAAGCGCGTAAGCGCCGCGTCGTCGTCTCGGATAAACATTGGTACGGAACCCATAGGAATGTAAACAAAATTTATACTTATTGTTAAAATCTCTATAAAATATCTGATAATTTGATGTGCCTATGTCTAATGATCATTTTTGACCGCCAAATGGCATTTTTTTTTACTTTTTTTTACTAGATCTCCGAAATCGCTAGACCTGCCTTCACGAAAATTTGATCAGTTCTTCATCTTGTTAATACAAGTAAAATGTTTTTTGAAACCGTTGATGGCACTTTTTTCCCCATGTCTTCGAAACGGCTAGACCTGCCTTCGCCAAAAACTAATAAGCACGTCTCCTTATCAATACGAATCGATTTTTTTTTTGAATTATTCAAATCGCTTCATCCGTGTTCCAGAAATCGTCGACGAAAATTTGTATCCGCACACACACACATATACAAACGCATACATCCATTTTTTCTAACTAAGGTATGTCAAAATGTTCAGAATGTTTTAAAACGTAAAGATATATAAAAATTTTCATTTTCGATTTTTTTGTGATTACTATAACTTGCCCTACGGGAAGTTAATAAAATATTTTTTTTAAATTTAGGTATGTGTATGTAAGTATGTATGTATTTTAAATTCATATTTACAGTTTTCAAGTTTGGATGTCTGACAAAATAAAAAATTTAAGATACGAAGAAAGATACGCATAGAGGTTAATATGATAATAAAGCTAATACGCTTAAAATTATTAAGTTACGAATTACTATTTACTATATTAAACAAAAAATAATTAAGTATCGTTTGATTAACCAGTGAACACAAATTAAAATAAGTTTTATCCTAAAATAAAATTTTAAAAATATTTGTTTCGGTCATTATTGTAAATTATTTTGTATAAATCATTTGCTTGAAGAAGTAAAACACATATGTAATATTATTCAAAATTTTTATTGTATTTTTTGGTATAAAAGTGAAATAAATAAGAAAATGATAGAAAGTGAAAATAAATATTAGTAAATAAATAACTGAAGTGTTAATTTCTTGTTAGAATTATCATTCACTAGCCAGGTCTTCGTCGAATTTTCAACCTAAAAACCTCGATCAATAAATGATATAAAAATCAATCGCTAAAAATAATCTTTGAAAATAAAATCTTATTGAAAATAAGATTTTATTTTACAAATATTTCTTTGCGATAGATTTTACCAGTTATTTTTTCGAGATTTTTCTATCTTGACTTTTCCATTTTAGTTCATGTTCTTGACCATGTCTTCCCTCTCTTCATCGGCAGCCCTGTAACCACCAGCGGGTTTCTTGTAAACGACTGGAGCTTGGGGAGCGACGTATGGTGTCAATTGCACTTGTGGTGGTTGGAAAGCTTGGCTGCATGGAACAGGAGCAACGCTAGGTTGGCAACCGAACAAGTATGGTAGGGCAAGGAGGTTGAGCGGGTAGGTGGTGTGAGGTCACTTGAGGTGCGGGGGGCGGCATAAGCGGGAGCAGGAGCAGCGTAAGATGGAGCAGGGGCGGCGTATGCGGCAGCGGGAGCAGCGTAGGCAGGCAGCTGGGGCAGCGGCTTGGTATGAAACAACTTGGGCAGCTGGGGCTGGTTGGTACACGGCGGCGGGAGCAGCGGCAGGAGCTTGGTAAGCGGCTGAAGCAGCAGGAGCAGAGTAGGATGCAACTTGGTAGCTAGCAGGGGCTGGTTGGTAAGCGACAGGAGCTTGGTAAGAAGCAGGAGCAGGAGCTTGATAGGATTGTACTGGTGCAGCTACTGAGTAACTCTTAGGTACATAGCTCTTTGGAACTTGGTATAAGCTCTTTTTGCCCCTTAAAGAATCTTCCAGTTCATCTTGTCTTTCTTCTAAGGCGTTGACAGCTTCGGCCAAGTTATTTTCGTTTTCAATCAAATTTTGTTGCACTACATCCAATTTAGGTTCATCAACTTCAGATTTGAATGGAACGGCCAACACTGCTTGGAAGACGCAGGCGACTGCTAGAACCTTAACGACGGCTTGCATTTTGTTTTTTTTTTTAAATAACTTGGGAAGTTGTTTCCAAGAATACTCGAAGTGAACTGTGATTTTCGAATCAAATGCAGGTGTTTATAAACGATTTTCGATTGAAGTACGGTCAGCAAAAATCATACGATGCGCGTGCAAAGTTGCAACATAGGCGCGACGCGATGCACACATGTTTGTTATTTCACGTATGCGCGTAACAAAATGTTTTACATTACATAAAATGTTTTACATATGCTTATAATACATTTTATTGTAAAATTTGCAAAAATATATTATTTTGCAACGAATATTTTACATGCTGTTTCAATTCAATGATGAAGACCTAGTCTATGAACTATAGAACTTTAAAATAATAACCATAATATATATTAGAATACTTTAACATAATAACCATAATATATTGTTCTATAAGATATTGAGCTATGAAACAGGATTATTTACCTCATATATTAACCGGATATTGTAAAATATATTGCGTGTGAATTGACTTGGATAAATCATTCAAATATAATTCGAAATGTAATGCTTCAAATCTGGTCTTGAAACTTTGGATGTTTAATATGTGCTTGAGGATTGAGAAGAAAATAGCTCTAAGTGTTAATTGTATAGAAAAAACGCATATTACAAATGGCTATGAAATTCAGATTTAAAAATCTTAATAATTAGCATGAATTTGAGTATAAAATTTTGGTTCATGCACAGTTATTGAAAATTTGTCAAATTATTTTAAAACTAGTTTCCCAATCATTTATATTCCATACAAAACTTTTGAGTATTGTTGGATAATTTAAAAAGATAAAGTTATTAAATAAACTTTGATATAGTATGGTATCAAACATAATAAAATAACTATTCCAAATATAGACTAGGACTATGCATTGACGAATTAAACGCAAATTTTAGGTATAACAAGCAAAAAATTATTCAATAGCTGTTAGAATATCTTGACAACATGTATTAAGCACAAATGCAATATATGTCATATTATTAATATATATATTCTAAAACTTAATAATTAAGCAAATAATATAATTAGGCTACTGCAGTCATTCTTAAAATGAACCTTACCTTGCAAACTTATTTCCCATCTTGTTTAAATTTTCATATTTTGTTACCTCCTCAAAATAAATTTAAAATGTATTAACAGAAAAATACAAAAACGCCAACAGTAAAATCACACACAAATTTTGAAAAATTTCGGATGAATTTAACTACATGAAAATACTTTCAAAAATTTTAATTAATTTTGATTTTGTATTATGTTTTCACATATTTTTTTCATGGTAGGTCGTTATTTAATTAATTTCACATGTTTGACAGATTTTTTTACGGGATTAATTTTAAAATTTTTTGACAGTAGCCATGAGAAAATTTCATATGAAATACTGAGTTATGTTTGTCAACGTCGTTTGTTCGTCAATAAAAAATGAGATAAATACAAATAGGATTAATTATTTTAACATGTGGTATTGATGAAAAATTTAAATATGTAGCACCCTAGTAAAAAGATCATAATAAAATTCAAAACTAAAAATAGAAAATAAATCAAATATAAAAATAGAAATCAAATCTTCAATTCAAAATAATAATCAAATGAAAAAGCTCTTGAACACCAACTTTATATGATCAAACTTGTCTATTTAAGTGTTATTTTCAGAAGAATGTATTAAAACCAACACAGAGATTGAAAATTTTATTTTGAAAACTAGTCAAGAAATTAATATGTATATACATTAAATTTGTTTAAAAGTAAGTAAAATAATATATATATATATATATATATATATATATATATTGGGGTATGTATGTTTTCATATTGCCAAAGATATGACTTATAAATCAAAGTGAACGAATAAACACCACTAATGTCAATAAATCATTTTTTTGTTTATTATATATGAGAATATAATATTTTTATAATTTGTGAAAAAATCACAAAATGACATAGATCCTAATAAAATAGAAAATTGTATCAATATTTCTTTGAACGCATACATACAAAACTGTGATTGAAAAAACTCTAACGCTTAATCATTTTGTGCATGGAAAAATTATTATAAAAATATTATTTTTACAAATTGTATTTAATTTTAACAAATACGGTTTTTTCGTGAATCTGTCGCAAAATCTTTGGTGTAGCAATATAAAGTTTTAGATTTAATAATAGGATATTGTTAAGGGGCGAAGCTTAAAAATTACTTCGACGTCTAACTGGGTGTTGTCGATTTACTTCTCCTAACTACGACACTTTTAAATATTTGTCCTATAATTGAACTACTTGTGTGATCGGTGATATTTATTATAAATAAATATGGTGAATATAATGGCATCAGATAGTTGGTGTTTCTATACTAAGCTTTGAACTTATACTAAATAAAAATTATTAAAAATTAAGATTAACAATATTAGCCCCGCCCGTAAGAGGCGGGTTACATTAATTTGTACATCTACGGGGGATGATTTCTTGGACTTAATATATCTGAGAAGGATGATTCCTTGAAATAATCTTAAGGCATTTTGCAGACCCATAAATAAAATCATCGATACGGATATAGACAGTCCAGACAAATAACTTACATCAAAATTAAAAATGTCTTATGTTACTAATGCATTTAAAGACGAAATTATATACTTCAAAAATATTTCATGCAAAACTTATATGTTTGCACGAGCACCTTGCGCACAATCAATTTTTTATATCAATATGAAAATGTTAAAATTTAATATTCATTTTGAATTTCAAATATTTGCATGAATATTATTTTTACAATTTATAAATATATATACCTATATATTAATTTATTTTACAAAATTTTACGTATATTTAGTACTGTATATATTTATATAGGACTGGGTACGGTTGTGCCTGGTTACGATAGTGACAGTCTATAGTGATTTTGAGATAGGGTCTAAAGGGAAGAGTATGTTAATTCAAACAAGTTTCCATCATTGCATTGAGTCAGCGCTCTCTTTCAAATAGCGAAATTGATATTAATATTAACAAAAATATTTTCATAATATTTATTAAATGATGAAAGATATGGAAACCTAATTAGCTTTTTTAAACTATTATATCATTTATACATAAATGAGTCTTCGAGATATAAACAAAAACAATATGATTTCGCTGGAAACGTACAATTGCTGACTTTTACTTATTGGTTGTATTGCGCATTGAATACTAAAGATAAGACTGAAGATACAATCGTTAATGACATGATTAAATAACAACTTTTACAGACATTTATATATATATATATATATATATATATATACTTATTTATCATTAATTTCAATTTTTATCTTAGTGTCAACAATATTTATTTAAAAATTATGATTTGATGAATTATGAATTTGGCAAATAAAAGTTAAAAATGATATGCTTGTATAACACATATTGTACACTACTCAAATCAAAAATTATTTTCTCCTAAAACGAATATATCTGTGTCCTTCACAGTTAATGATTCATGATATCATATGATAGAGTAAAATTGAAGTAAGTGTGAATCATAGTTATGCCAAGAAATCAAAAAATAAACAGAATCTCAAAAACTATAAAAGCTTCAAACCAGAAAAAAAATGTTATGTAGGAAAGGGCAAGGCACAAAGCTTCAATTTGACTTTGAGTATTTATATTGTGCAAATCAAACTAATTATATTCCAACAAATAACACATATCAAACAAACAACTATCTGAATATGTTCAAACTCCTGAAAACTTCCAGCTAATTCATCATTGTGGAAATGTGTTTTCCAAAAATTTGTAACTTGGTCCTTTCTACCCCACATGTCTAATTTTACTTTTAAAGGGTTTTTAGAAAATAATACCTATATTAGACCAATGCAAAATACGAATTTCATGGGTGCATTTTTTCCGGAATAACATTATTAATAACCTTGATCTGGTATTTTGTATAATCTGCAAAGTTGAAATAACTATTTATTTAGTTTGGGTATAGGTTCAAATGGTTTTTCTACCCCAATCAGATGTAAACTCTTATATAGGCTCTATAAGGAGAACTGTTGAATCTAACTTAAAATTTACAATATATTTTATAACAATTAAATAACTTATTCTTTAAATTATATTAAGTTCTCGTAAAATAAGCAACTACCAAAAAAACTAACAACGAAAAAAAAATACATTGTGTTGGATTTTCTAACATTGCCGCTTTTCTCGCGAAAGCAACGTTGTAAGAATCAAGATGGTGGCTGGTTATACATGTTTTTCTCTATACTTGGAAATATTGTTATAAAAAAGTTCTCAACTTTATTGTTTTTTTAGATATCGATGGTTGGCCTTTTTAACTGCTGAGTTCTAAGCACCGCTCTACCCTATTAAATAGTATAGTTTGGAAAACAAAATATGTATATCATTCAACAGAAATAAAAACATTGGTAATTTTATTAAAACTAACTTGCATTTTATACTAAATTATATTTTCTAGGTGAGATTGAAGATGAACTGATGTCATGTATGGAACGGAGCATATGAAGCATTTATATTTTTTTATTGATATCTTCACGTCCAATAACATTGCCTTCCATAGAACATGAAAAAAATTCAAAATCATCGCATAAAAAACAGCAAATATTTTCCAAATTTTCAAAAGCAATTCTAAATTTTTAGCAAAAACGTTGACCCAAATTTGTCACTCAATTACTACTTCAAAAGAGATAAATCGTTTCAACTCAAAGTAATCAACTCGATTTGATTTTAATTCATAGAAAAGGTGAAATTTGAGTTTGATAATAAATTTATTTATAAAATATACTATGTATATACATATACATATACAAAGCCAAATCATTCGATATCTGATTAAAATATAATCAATATGATAAAACATTCGTATGTATCATCATTTACTAAGGTCCCGTATATTATAAATATAAGGCGCAAAACGTTCAAAATGTCATTTTAAAAAAGAATTTACTACTAACTGCAAAAAAATGAAAAAATATTGTAAATGTGAAATGTGAACAACCAGTGC